GATGTGATAAGAGTGGCGGCTTCCGAGTCAGTGCGGGAAACAATGAGGTTTTCAACACCCATAATATCAAATTGGACACGAATTGCGATCAAGCGATTGATATGCTCAGAGATTGGAACCAAAACCTTGCCAGCCATGTGACCACACTTCTTATAAAGTGGACTTTGATCTTCAACATGAACTAAAATTTCATAATAAAACATTTAAGTAATTTAAAAAATTTTAACAAGGCAAATTTATAATTATACGGTCGACTTTCAATAAATGTAATTCTCTTTCTTTAAGTGCAAATCTGATCAAACCCCATGAATCAATTGTCAAATCGTAGACTAATAATTCGTGTAAATAGGATCAGCTCAAGATAGGTATAATTTTTAATGATCTACATACTTGCCAATTTTGATACATAAAACTTTTAAGTACAACAAAAAGATAGAAGTACGTGATCTGTGCTACAGTACACTTATCGAAAGTCAATCGTACATCAAATTTAAGCTTTTATAATAATAATAAAAAACTTACTTCCCGCAGCACCACGTTCGACAAACATTTTTGTAAGTTTCAATATAGCAGTGATACCACCATGACCAGTATCAGCGTCCGCAATGATCGGACGCAAATAATCTACGAAATGAGTTTTTGCACGCTCTTCCTTAGACATGCTGAACCTTGCTTCACGTTGTTTTCTATCATGGAATTGTTGTGCCAAAAACAAATGTTCCACTTTGTTAGGAACGGTATCCATTGGGTAATCTGCAAGATCAGGTCCGGGCTCATTTGAAGTGGATGCGGTAGCAGAGCATTGCCAGCCTGAGACATAAACAGTTTCGAGATACCTAGCCATTAGTGATACTTGGATAGGATCTAAACATCCAAAAGTATGCGAAACTGTCTTGTTTTTTTGGTGAAGTTTTAACAGGGTCCAGAGCTTCTTGGCCTGAGTGTCAGAGGCATATTGCTGCTTAAGAAGACTTCGTTTTGAGACGATCTGCTCGGCAGTGTATGGACGCTTTATAAGACGAAAACGTTCAGTCTTCCACCACCTCTTCACCTCGGAAACTTCATAGTCAAATGCAGCTTGTTCTTGGGCCACAAAATTTGCGGAAGACATTATGTTAAGCCTCTTTCCTAATCTTAGAAATAACTAATTAGCTAAGAAATTAAGGAAATTTAATGTTAAAGAGAATACAGTAGTCTTAAATTTTATTAAATTTACAAAAAGTTTTTACAGTTTACCACGGAGAGGATGGCTTGAGATCCACATTGCATTGATTAGATTATTAGATCTTAATTATCAATCTCATTATTGGTCACTATAAATAAATCAAAATGCTTTATAGGGAATTGATCTTTAAACCTTAATAAAATATTCAATCGCGCGACACTTCCAAATATATATCTGCCTCTTTAAAACGTTTAAACATTATACTGGTACTAACTTAGTACATCAATTAAAAAATTTTGATTAGATATTTTAATTTGGTTAGCTTCCTAGGCAATCGTTCTTAGAGAATAACATGTGAAGATGCATTAATGTGACTCAATCTATGAACTTTCCTAATACTGCGTACGTAAAAAATTAGTATAACAAATTAATATAACGTGATGTTGATCTAATTATACGTATCATGAAAAAATGTTAATTTTTGAACATTATAATGATAAACGATACACGTACTTTTTACAAATACTTACATACTTTCATGTACTTTATGTTTCATCATTACCAACTTTGATCGGAATGACAGGCCTTCAAAAAAATTTAAAATAATTGAAATCTTAATGTTAAAGATTTTTTGAACGTATCTTGTTATTTTGAGTATTTTTTTTTTTTCGTACTTGGGAAATTTTAAACATATCGATTTGAGTATCATTTTGTTATCATCTAATTTCAATAATGGAAATTTTCAACATCATTTGCGATAATTGATTCACTATAATAAAGGTTGAAATTTCCGTTAATCGATAAAGTTACCTATTTTAAAATCAAATTTTATTTTACCATCCTTTAAGCCGATCGATCTTAAAAAGCCTCCAATTTCTTTTTTCTTTAGCTAGGCCACGTCTGAACAAGCGTTTCGATCCTAAATCCGACAATCTGGATTGATCATTAACGTTAAATCCAGATAAATTCAGATAACCAAGCGGAGATTTTTATTCGAATTGGTCAAAGAAATTAAATAACGGATTTAAGGATGTGCCCAAAGCTAGCTTTATATATAATTTATATGGAATCCGGATGGCCTGTCACAAATAGGGTCGAGGCACTTAGTCTGAACATTAGGTGGGTGAATCTTCATATCACATT